TTTCACTGCGTGTGTGCATGCTCCTTATAAATTGGACCTTTTCTCACCTTTATACACGGTGAAGGAGTTCCAGAGAAAATTGGAAAACCTATTTTAAAACTTTTAATTCACCCCTTTAAAATTCTGCTTATGTGTAGCAACTCGCAATAGGATTATATAGCTATACTAGAACCAGGTGTGTATTAACTTGTGTTAACGTGTTAATTATACTTCATTCTTCCAGTGAACTTGTATTTGAAGCCAGATATCCAAATTTAAGTCAGTTGACAAATGGAGGTTAGGTTGTTAGTATAACAGCTTTTCCTCTGTGCAATTGAACAACAGTTTTAGTGTATTGAAATAACGACCAAGTAGGTCGTTATTTGGGTTTGGCTCTGGTGCGAGACGCCATGGCTCACAGGGGCGCGATGGGTGAAAACCCATCGCGCCCCTGTGAGCTGTGGACTTACCAGTGGACCCCAACCCAATCCCTCAGGGCGGATCCAGGAGGTAGGCGGGGCCCATGGTTGGTGGGCATAAGGTGGTGGGGACAGCTGAGTGGAACCGAGGAGAGTCATGCCCCACCCTGGTTCCGACTTTGCCCTGCGCCCTTGGGAGCCGTGCGGGAGTTAAGGGAAGGGGGAACACTTACCTGCCCCCTTCTCCTTCTCTGGTGAGGCAGGGACAGTGACACCAGGTCCAGTAATCAGCACAGCATAGCACTGGCAATGGTCTATGCATGTGCCAACCCAAGTAATGTCAGTGTTCGTGGGATTTTAAAAAGGGCTCCCAAAAGCCATATTCAGCTCTGGCTGTGGTGCGAGATGGAGGTGGGGGGAAACCCTGTGAGCCCAGGACACCGGCGGATCCTTCAGAGGATCCTGACCTGATCCCCCAGTGCAGAACTGGGAGGTAGGTGGGGCTTGCAGTGGGTGGGCATTAGGTGGTAGGGGGCAGCTGAGTGGAGCTGAGGCGTGTTACACTTCACTCCAGCTCCAATTTTGCCCAGTCCCTTTGGGAGCCGCACAACTGGAGCACACAAACAGGCATGCTCTGGGCCCAGCACGTGAGTTTGCCTTTTCACGTGCTCTCCTGCACAGTTTGGCAGCCACTCTTAGTACTGAGTTGCCCCCTGGTTGTCCCATGCACGGCACAGCGCAGCACAGCACACCCAAGGCAACCGAAGGCCCATACTGAGGGAAGTGCCCCAGCAATCCAGTGCTGAACACCAGGTAAAGGAGACAAAGGCTTGTCTCTCTCTTCCCCTCCAGGTAGGGATCCGGGGACCCTGGGAATCTCCAGGCCACTTCGGAAGCTGAGAAGCTAGGGGACCTCCCCCCTCCAGGCAGCTGCTGGAACCTACTTGCCTAACCACAGCAGCAGCTGCAGCTGGTGAAGACCACGTGGGAGCAAAAACACCCACCTGGTTTCCTTCTCATAAGCACCCAGGCAGCCACATGACCAGGGTTGCCCTGCATTATGGTGATAGGTACACGCTAGACTCCAGGAACTGGACCTGTTCAGCCTGAGGAGGGGAAGGCTGAGAGGTGACTTGAGAGCTGCCTACAAGTAGGGAGCTGTTTTCAATCACTAATTCGATTTGGCAGAGATTTAGCCTGATTTGGTGGCCAAATCTCCAAATACAAATAGAATCAGGAGACCCTTTAATCTCTCTGAATCGAATTAGAACACTTTGAATCAGTTGGGAGAAATTTGATGATTTGGACATAGAAACAGCTTTAAATGTTTTTTCTACATACCTCAAGGTACCAGGTGTCTCGTGAACACTGAGATGGTGGGATGTATGGAGTGTCCCACGAGAGCGCAGGGGGTCCCCAGCATGCTCGGGGGTGGACCTGGAAGTGGACCAGAAGCACTTCCGGTCCAGTTCCAGGTCTGCTGCAGCATGCGCAGGAAACGCGCCCCCCCCCC